GATCGCTGCACGTTTATCGGGGATTTGGCGACTTGTTTACAAGCACGGAATTACTCATTTCAATGACTACGAGACTGGAAAAAAAAATTGCAAAGGAAATGCTGGAAAGTCTGCGCACAAAATGACAGCCTTTATCCGCAGCTCCCATTACTATGGTCTCTGAGCTATTCCCGGTGCAGAGGAAACACGCACATCTTAAGGATCAGAGGCAAGTTAGTCAGAAGACTAGATCCTCTTTAAAGTGGTTGTAAACCTCTGAAATGGAATATGAACAAAGCATATCCCTCTATAGCACATGTCAAACACAAGATCTGCGGGCCAAGTTCGGCCCCCCAGGCCATGTTATTTGGCCCTCATACCTCTGCTACAGCTGTGGCACCCCCCCCCCCATTGTTTCCCCCCCCAACTTGTCTCAGCAGAGAGGAGGACAGAACTCCTCCAGCAGATCCTGCACTTCTCTGTGTAGCTGTGGAGAGTCTAGTCTCTCTACCCCCCACATCTCAGCAGTTGGCAGCAAAGAGGAGGACAGACCTTGTCCTACAGATCCAGCACTTTATCTGTACAGCTGCAGCACCTCCCTTGTCTCCACCTTCACCTTGTCTCAGCAAAGAGGAGGACAGAATTCCTCCACCAGATCCTGTGTTTCTTCATGCAGGCACAGAGGCTAGGCTCTCCCACCCCTCCAACCCATCTCAGCAGTTGGCAGCAAAGAGGAGGACAGAACTTGTCCTACAGATCCAGCACCTCTCTGTGCAGCTGCAGCACCTCCCTTGTCTCCACCTTCACCTTGTCTCAGTAAAGAGGAGGACAGAATTCCTCCACCAGATCCTGTGTTTCTCCATGCAGGCACAGAGGCTAGGCTTTCCCACCCCCTACTACCCCCCCCCCCCCATCTTGCAGTGGGCAGCAGAGAGGAGGACAAAACGCCTTCTACAAATCCTGCACCTCTCTGTGCATCCACAGCACCCCTCGTCTCCGCCTTCCCTGGTCTCAGCATTCAGCAGATTCTGACAGTTGAATGCAGCCCTCCTCTGGCCCTCCTGCAGACCCTGCAGTTTCTGTTTCCCAGCTCCTCCTCCAGCTTCTTCCCGGCACCAGCACAAGATAAGGGGGTGCACTGTGATGTAAGGGAGGGTGGAGGACTCTTGACTTTTGATGGTGGGGGGGCGCTCTTCTGGACATCTAGTTTTACAGATACAACTGGCCCTTTGAGGACAACCATAATGCTGATGCGGCCCGTGATGAAATTTCTCTGTAGTGTGTACTTGCCTCAATCCAAAGCACTTATTGTGATTTCTGTCTGCTCTCTCATTCCTCTGCTCTCTGCATGAGTCACTTCTGACAGTCTATGCCAACAATGGCTCCAACTCCACTCCAGCACACAGAAGGCAACTGACAGCCACCGATGTGCATGTCTCCCTATGAGACTTTGTACAGGAAGGTGTGACCTTTCCCTCCACTCATGTCTCAGATTACACTCAGCTCTCCTCTCTATGCTGTGCAGTGTGTGACATCAGATCCCCACTCCCTGCCTTCTGTAGTTAAGAAATAGCCTTTGATCTGTGTGTTTTAGGAGGCTGTAGAGAAGAATGGGCTTTAGATAAACAGGTACAACTTATGTAGGAGGATTTCTGTCAGCTCAGTGTATCATCTAAGGCCAGTTACTTCAGTGGGTATATGTAGTGATGTATTTAGGTTTTGTGCTGCCCTAGGCAACACAAAAATCGTCTGCCCCCACGGACACCGACCAACACCACCCCCTCCTTCCCCCTCGCGTGGAGAGAGCCTGACATTGACCAACAACACCCCTGCCCCCCACCCGGGAGAGCCTTTGACTACGCCCCCCCTACACTCATCTTCACAGCTCCAGACATCCCCGGGAACAGGAGTCAGGCTCTAAATACACCATCAAGCAGCCCCTCTCAGATCCCACCTGGTTCCCATGGCGCACGTGTCCCTTCTCTCATCCCTTCTTCTGGGGGGGGAAGGTGCTGCCCACTTGAAAATCGCCGCCCTAGGCAAGTGCCTTGTTTGCCTTGTGGTATATGTAGGGGTTTACAACCACTTTAAGTCACATTTCCTCCAGATTACATGGAGGACACTGAGAAGATCGAGCATCTAATACTGCGCTCCTATGCTCACAGTATTGCTCCCTTCATGAGAGCCAACCATCGGCCACCTTTGCTCTACAGCTCTGAGGATGTTCAGCCAAACACCTGAAGACACCTGAAGACACCTGAAGACACCAGAAGACACCGGCTCAGCTCTTCCGCAATGTACAACAACACGGATATGAAGTATAGACTTGTGTATATACAGAATGTATGTCCTCTATGCTTCGTGCATCCTGCCGAGTAGTTATGTTCATGCTCTGTTAAATCGGTGATCCAGTCTAAATCCACAGAGGATTCGATTATCACGGCTGACTCGCCCACACAACAACATGTCATACTAACTTCAAGCAAAGGGGAACGTAAAAGCAACCATGTAGCATCTGATGTTATTTTTAAAATGACTTCCAGCAATCCCTTATGCCTCTCAGAGAATCCCTGCACAGCCGGAGGGGTCGCCTCACGCAGCGTCTGCAAGTGAAATCCGATTTGCTATTGACTCCCCCCCCCCCCCCCCCCAAGTAAACTGCCAGGTTTAAAAGCAAGCCGAAAGGTCAAAAAGAAGTGAAATGAGGACCTGTCTAAACATCTGCATTCTTTCATCCATGAGCAATGGACCATTCTGCTGTGAAGTTGTTCAGTGCGGACAAGCTTCCACCAAAAGGTACCAATCTGTACTATGGGTAGAACCTACAGGGTCTCAAAGTGTCACCTTGACAAGATTCAGTGATGCAAATGCCGCAAAATAGAATCGAAAATCCCCGGTGAGCAGGCGTTTGCCAAAGTTTGAGAAGTAACCACATCCACCAAGAGCGTCCCGTGTCTCCACGGTGGTAGACCTTGGCTGAGGTCCATGAGGTCCTTGAAATTATTCCATGCATGTATAGCTGCTACTTCCACGTGATAGTTTAAGAAAAAAAGAACAAAAAAAACCCCAAACTAAGCCCTTTCTTGTGCTGTACTCATTAGAAACAAGTCCGTGTAACGATCGTGACATCCTCAGCACAGAATGTGACTTTCCTGTCCCATCATGACGGGGTAGAAGTTGTTGTCTGGAGAGCACTGCTCCGTTTCGTCTGGGACTTGTGGTGGGCTCAGAGAGCTTCTTCCGCTGTCATTGTCTTTACCTGTCAATGAGAAACAGAAGACAGTTTGTAACGTTGGTAGCAAATTGAACTTCCTGTACGGGAAAATGGGAGACATGCTGTAAATTATAACCACATTAGAATCAGATCCATTTGTTTTGGGTCCCTTTTGATTGATTTTGATAAGGAAGGCAATAGGCACAGAAAAGCCATCTGTACTGGCATGACCCTTCCCCATCAGACACCAAATGGCTACAAGTGCATCCTACAGGCAGGTGCCTAGGTTTGACCAATCGCTCTATGCTCCCTGGATTCCTGCAGGAGCATGATCGTTTTATTCTGAACTCAGTGATGCCCCCTTTCCCCCCACTTTCCCCCCTTTTCATCCAGCCTCATGGGACACAAGCAGCACAATGGCTAAGTCACTGGTGCCCAATCTGCAGGCCTTTGGTATATGATGTGCGGCCCTCGGACCTCTGCAATTAACATTGATTAGGGTAATAGCATTGATCTCCACCAGCCACATACAACATCTTCTCATTTTTGTAGTGTCTTCTGCAGCATATCCCCAGCCAACAATGTATCCTGTCCCGACTCTCTGGCCCTCATTTCCTCTATTAGGTCCACACTTTCTGACCCTCATCTCCTTTATTAGGTCCTCACTCTCTGACCCTCATTTTCTGTATTAGGTCCACACGCTCTGACCCTCATTTCCTATATTACGTCTCCACTCTCTGACCCTCATTTCCTCTATTAGGTCTCCATTCTTTGACCCTCATTTTCTCTATTAGGTCCCCGCTCTCTGACCCTCATTTTCTGTATTAGGTCCACACTCTCTGACCTTCATATTCTCTATTAGGTTCCCTTTCTCTGACCCTCATTTCCTCTATTAGGTTCCCACTCTCTGACCCTCATTTCCTTTATAAGGTCCCCACTCTCTGACCCTCATTTCCTCTATTAGGTCCCCACTCTCTGACAGTCCTCTAAAGAATTTGCATGTTCTCCCTGTGCCTGCTTGGGTTTTCTCCAGGTACTCTGGTTTTCTCCCACATACATGTATGTATGAATGTGAGTTAGGGACCTTAGATTGTACACCCCTTTGAGGGTTAGGGACTGATGTAACTGCGTGTAATTAAGAAATAGAATGGCTGGCACAGCATAAACTAGCAGTACATTCCTTTGTCTTCGGGTTAAGTTCCCTCCACCCAGAGCTGTCATGAAATGTTCCTATTGAAGTGTAGCAGAGACTGGACTCCCCTCCATCTCATAATTCAGTGCCTGAGTAAGCCATCGCTAGGCCCAGGCGTTCTCACATAGGGGGTATCAGTACTCATTTGAGAAAGTCACACTGTACTGATCAGACATGGTTACTTCACATCAACCTTTTCAACACAGAAGAACCCCTGCTAAGAATTACTACATCTACAACTCATGATATTTTAGTGTGATGGTCAGTGGGAAGAATGTCCCTTACATTGGGGGTCAGTGGGAAGAATGTCCCTTACATTGGGGGTCAGTGGGAAGAATGTCCCTTACATTGGGGGTCAGTGGGAAGAATGTCCCTTACATTGGTGGTCAGTGGGAAGAATGTCCCTTACATTGGTGATCAGTGGGAAGAATGTCCCTTACATTGGGGGTCAGTGAGAAGAATGTCCCTTACATTGGTGATCAGTGGGAAGAATGTCCCTTACATTGGGGGTCAGTGAGAAGAATGTCCCTTACATTGGGGATCAGTGGGAAGAATGTCCCTTACATTGGGGGTCAGTGGGAAGAATGTCCATTACATTGGGGGTCAGTGGGAAGAATGTCCCTTACATTGGTGATCAGTGGGAAGAATGTCCCTTACATTGGTGGTCAGTGGGAAGAATGTCCCTTACATTGGAGGTCAGTGGGAAGAATGTCCCTTACATTGGAGGTCAGTCAGGGAAGAATGTCCCTTACATTGGGGGGTCAGTGGGAAGAATGTCCCTTACATTGGTGGTCAGTGGGAAGAATGTCCCTTACACTGGGGGTCAGTGGGAAGAACGTCCCTTACATTGGAGGTCAGTGGGAAGAATGTCCCTTACATTGGAGGTCAGTGGGAAGAATGTCCCTTACATTGGGGGTCAGTGGGAAGAATGTCCCTTACATTGGTGGTCAGTGGGAAGAATGTCCCTTACATTGGTGATCAGTGGGAAGAAGGTCCCTTACATTGGAGGTCAGTGGGAAGAATGTCCCTTACATTGGTGGTCAGTGGGAAGAATGTCCCTTACATTGGAGGTCAGTGGGAAGAATGTCCCTTACATTGGGGGTCAGTGGGAAGAATGTCCCTTACATTGGTGGTCAGTGGGAAGAATGTCCCTTACATTGGAGGTCAGTGGGAAGAATGTCCCTTACATTGGTGGTCAGTGGGAAGAATGTCCCTTACATTGGTGATCAGTGGGAAGAATGTCCCTTACATTGGGGGTCAGTGGGAAGAATGTCCCTTACATTGGGGGTCAGTGGGAAGAATGTTCCTTACATTGGTGGTCAGTGGGAAGAATGTCCCTTACATTGGTGATCAGTGGGAAGAATGTTCCTTACATTGGTGGTCAGTGGGAAGAATGTCCCTTACATTGGTGGTCAGTGAGAAGAATGTCCCTTACATTGGTGATCAGTGGGAAGAATGTCCCTTACATTGGTGGTCAGTGGGAAGAATGTGGGAAGCGGGACTGCGGCGGGCATTCTGACACTGGTGGGGGGGGAACTGACTTGGTGTCACTGACATCCCCAGTGACACCAATACAGTGATCGGTGCTAATGAAAAGCACTGACACTAATACTGTAAAAGCACTGTACTAATGGTACTGGGCAGGAAGGGGTTAACATGAGGGGCCATCAAAGGGTTACCTGTGTGCTGTGTTACTAGTGAGTCATGCTGTGCAGAGATACAAAGCAGCATGTCCGTGTTGACAGATGTTTACACACAGGTCTCTCCCCTGTCAGCTTACCCTGACGATCGCCAAGTGCTGGCCGGGAATTTCCGGCTGGGACCCGTTGATTGACATCCCTAACTGCCAATAGCGGTGCCGCCCTGCCCAGAAATGGAAATCATGTATATATATGTGATTTTGCGCAGCCCTGCCGCTCCGTAGCAGTACTTCTATTAAAGGGCGGGGGGGGGGGGGGGAAAGTGGTTAATATTTTTTATATTGTTAGAGAAGAACCAAGCACAAGCTAAATTTCCGCTATTTAAAAAGCCGTTTTATGGGTTGGCAGAAGATCTCGGAGTCATTTGCAGTAAAAGCCGATATTGATTTGCGCTCATCCTTCATAACCGAGAGAAGCCGGGCCCGAGATGGGGAAAGCGATATTTTGTTTCTAAATTTTAAATCAGGCCTGAAGTAAACAAGGCTGGAAACTAATCAACTCTAATCCCGGATTAGTTTCCAAACAGGATCAAAGCATGAAGTAAAGTCAGGTCATCCAACCAAAATGCAATGGTGTCTTCAGGATTATAGCCTGCAGCCAGCATTACCAAGGAATATGGAAAGGTATGTCTGCCGTGTCACTCAGCAAGACCCCGTCTCTAAGCTAAAACAGTAAATAAAGTTCGACCTGCAAAAAAAGTAAATGCTTAAAGGGGGGGTTGAATCTGCTGGGAGCGTCTTAGCAACATCCTAGCAACAAGGCAGGATGGGATGATGCCATCTCTGGGAGTTTTTTCAGCTCGGCTACAGAAGGTATGTCAACGGCCTACACCTATAGCAAGTACATAATTTAACTTGGTCAGAGCTGGACAGTTTTTATCTACAGACACACCTTACCTGCATAGGCAGTTTTTCGGTAAAGGTGAACTAATGCAGGCCATACATGGTTCGAATTCCGAACTATTTTTTTGTCCGAAGATCGAAAACGTTGTTTGCTCGGTAATCCAATGATGCCATCAATGATTTTGAAAATCGGGCCGACCAAGTCATAAAGTTCACCCCATATAACAGGCGAAACCTCTGTTCCTTCCAGGTCATGGCGCATATTCTTTTCGGAAAAACGATCGTACGATTTGACTGTCAAAATTACCTATGATTAAGTTTCTTGCCAAACTGTGTCCTTCAATGAACCCCTGTTCTTCAGAACCTGGTTTTCAATCTGTAAAATAGGGTGGAAGATCAACTTTTGAGCCAGAAGATCTCTTTGTAGATGAAGACACAAAGGGGTGCCCCCAACCAGGCGCACTGTGTCAGTATGCCAGGGTCAACGAGGCCAATCTAGAGCCATAAGAATTACCATAATTCCCTATGGTAAATATACTTGCCAGGCTGTGTCCCCCAGTGAACCCCATCTTTCAGAACCTGGCTTTCAATAGTGAGGCCGTCAAAGCCAGCAAAGGTAAAATTGGGAGAAAGATCAGCTCTTGGGAAAGAAGATCTCTTTGTAGATGAAGATACCAAGAGGTGCCCACAACCAGGCGCACTGTGTCAGCATGCCAGAGTCAATGAGGCCAATCTGGAGCCATAAGAATTACCATAATTCCCTATGGTAAAGATACATGCCAGGCTGTGTCCCCCAGTGAACCCCGTCTTTCAGAACCTGGCTTACAATAGTGAGGCCGTCAAAGCCAGCAAAGGTAAAATAGAGAGAAAGATCAGCTCTTAGGAAAGAAGATCTCTTTGTAGATGAAGACACCAGGATCAGCATGCCAGGGTCAACGAGGCCAATCTGGAGCCATAAGAATTACCATAATCCCCTTTGGTCAAGATTCTTACCAAAGTGTGTCCTTCAATGGAACCCCTGTCCTTCAGAACCTGGTGGAAGACCAACCAGGTGCACCGTGTCAGCAGTACTAGGATCAACGAGGTTAATCCGGAGCCACGAGTATTACTGGGACTTCCCTATGGTCAAGATTCTTTCTAAACTGTGTCCTTCAATGAACCCCTGCCCTTCAGAACTTGGCTTTCAATAGGCAGGTCCTTAAAGCCAGTGAAGGTAAAACAGGATGGAAGATCAGCTCTTGGGATAGAAGATCCATCCGTAGATAAAGAAGCCAAGGGGTTCCCACAACCAGAAACACTGTGTCAGCATACCAGGGTCACCAAGGCCAATCTGGAGCCACAAGAATGACCAGAATTTCCTACAGTCAAGACTCTTGCCAGGCTCTGTCCCCCCAATGAACCCCATCCTTCAGAACCTGGCTTTCAATAGTCAGGCCGTCAAAGCCAGGTAAAATAGGGTGGAAGATCAGCTCTTAGAACAGAAGATCCACCCATAGATGAAGACAACAAGAAGAACCTGTGATAAAGTGCAGTGTCAACGTACCAGGGTCAATGAGACCAATGCGGGGCCATGAGAATGACAGGAAATACCACTTTACCAGAATCTAACAGTTACACAGAGAAGTCCATTAAGGAAATCCATTAAAATCCATAAGAGATTCCACAGATAAAATAAAGATTGTATTTTCTGGCAGATCTTGCTACATATAACTAAACGGGCGTTGATTTACATTTTATTTGGGGTTCCTCCACTTTAATCTGACATTACTGGAGATGAAATGTGTGTCGGGTGTGGGCTGGTTCCATGTAATAAAATGTTATATGAGGCTCTAGAAGACAAATGACTATTATATTACACTGATGGAACAGTAATGACAGCCTTGTAGACAGTAATCTGCTTTATTTTGCTGCTCAAGTCAATTCCAGGAGCTCGTAGTTCCTTGTCACTGTGCCTGACAGTCAGGAGCGATATAAAACAGCTACATTTACTGCTGTGCTGGTGTTCCTGGAGAAAGGTAATACAGAATATACTTTAAAATAATCAGATCGTAACTGAGATAGGTCTGCCATGAAATGAAGCCAACGGCAAACTCCATTAACTTTAGTTTTTCTTTTCCGGACTAAAAAATGAACTAATCTTTATAGATCATTGAAGTTTCCAGCTGTGGAGTCCACAGTGAGCTTTACACTCAATCCCTACCATCCTATATTCTGCTGCTAGACCAGCATTTCCCAAAGTTTTATTTCCCAGAAGGAAATCCTAACATGTTCAGGTTTGAGGAACCCCTAGTTAAACTGATTTATTAGGGGAAAAATGCTCCTTACATTGGGGGTCAGTGGGAAGAATGTTCCTTACATTGGGGGTCAGTGGGAAGAATGTCCCTTACATTGGTGATCAGTGGGAAGAATGTCCCTTACATTGGTGATCAGTGGGAAGAATGTCCCTTACATTGGGGGTCAGTGGGAAGATTGTCCCTTACATTGGTGATCATTGGGAAGAATGTCCCTTACATTGGGGATCAGTGGGAAGAATGTCCCTTACATTGGGGGTCAGTGGGAAGAATGTCCCTTACATTGGGGGTCAGTGGGAAGAATGTCCCACACATTGGTGATCAGTGGGAAGAATGTTCCTTACATTGGGGGTCAGTGGGAAGAATGTCCCATACATTGGGGGTCAGTGGGAAGAATGTCCCTTACATTGGGGATCAGTGGGAAGAATGTCCCTTACATTGGTGATCAGTGGGAAGAATGTCCCTTACACTGGGGATCAGTGGGAAGAATGTCCCTTACATTGGGGGTCAGTGGGAAGAATGTCCCTTACATTGGGGTCAGTGGGAAGAATGTCCCTTACATTGGGGGTCAGTGGGAAGAATGTTCCTTACATTGGAGGTCAGTAGGAAGAATGTCCCTTAGATTGGTGCTCAGTCAGTGAGAAGAATGTCCCTTACATTGGTGGTCAGTGGGAAGAATGTTCCTTACATTGGGGGGGTCAGTTAGAAGAATGTTCCTTACATTGGTGGTCAGTGGGAAGAATGTCCCTTACATTGGGGGTCAGTGGGAAGAATGTCCCTTACATTGGGGGTCAGTGAGAAGAATGTCCCTTACATTGGGGGTCAGTGGGAAGAATGTTCCTTACATTGGTGGTCAGTGGGAAGAATGTCCCTTACATTGTTGGTCAGTGGGAAGAATGTCCCTTACATTGGTGGTCAGTGGGAAGAATGTCCCTTACATTGGGGGTCAGTGGGAAGAATGTCCCTTACATTGGAGGTCAGTGGGAAGAATGTCCCTTACATTGGGGGGTCAGTGGGAAGAATGTCCCTTACATTGGTGGTCAGTGGGAAGAATGTCCCTTACATTGGTGATCAGTGGGGAGAATGTCCCTTACATTGGGGGTCAGTGAGAAGAATGTCCCTTACATTGGTGATCAGTGGGAAGAATGCCCCTTACATTGGTGGTCAGTGGGAAGAATGTCCCTTACATTGGGGGTCATTGGGAAGAATGTCCCTTAGATTGGGGGTCATTGGGAAGAATGTCCCTTACATGGGGGTCAGTGGGAAGAATGTCCCTTACATTGGGGGTCAGTGGGAAGAATGTCCCTTACATTGGTGATCAGTGGGGGGAATGCTCCTTACATTGGTGGTCAGTGAGAAGAATGTTCCTTATATTGGGGGTCAGTGAGAAGAATGTTCCTTATATTGGGGGTCAGTGAGAAGAATGTTCCTTATATTGGGGGTCAGTGAGAAGAATGTTCCTTATATTGGGGGTCAGTGAGAAGAATGCCCCTTTTATTGGCTGTCTGTGGCCATAGGCACGATCAGTGGATGACTTCGGAGGTCAACTTTAGTGAGGACGGTGCTAATAAATAGC